GGGGGGGGGGGGGGAGGGGAGAGGTAATTTTCTAGCCAAGGGTAGACAATAAGGTAGAAATTGGAGGTAATTTAAATGAATTTGAATGTATAGTAAGCACTCCCCTAGAAAGTTGGTCTGAGCATGGATACTGAGTACCTCTGACCCTGAGTTCCACACTAGTGCAGAGATTATTTTGTGAAATACTGGTGGAGCCCTCCAGAAGACATCTGCTGACAGGTTTTTCTTGGCACTGACCAGAAATGAGGAAGAGACCAACAATTGAAATAATATTGCTGGTTTTGATTATGACTTGAAAGTGTGAGAACCTAACAAACCAGTTTTATGTTTCAGTATAGCACAGCTACGTCTCATCTGATACAAACAGACTGCCACTGTTATTTAACATTTATGAACAATAATGAGGAACCAAAGTGTTTCACATATAAACATTGTGGTACATGTTACAGGCGAAAGCTGCTAGCGTAATAAAAGCAATAATATTTTTAATGTTTTTTTTTTTTTTACCCTTCTGTGAGAGAAGAAAGATTATTTATACAGCACACGTCATGCAAATTCATTGCAAATAATTGTGAGATAAGTAAAAAGGTCAATAAAGATGCAGATAAAGTTATCAGTAGAAGAAATGAAAGCCAGGTACCTGACTTTTAAAGAAATGTAGAATTGACCAGGGTACTAGTACACATAGATGCCTGTAAGGTCAAGCTCCTGGCAATTAAAAGGCCGTGCAGTACGCACACATTTGCTCCAGCAATATCAGCTGAGTACCAGGAAACCACTCTGGTCCACAAATGATTCTCAGTGTGTGCAGAACTCTGAATTCAGTTGAAACAACTCCAATGTGTGAATTATTCACAATATTGGCAGAACACTGAACTGGTTTGAAACAGCCCCAGTCTGTAAATTATTTGCAGTGTGAGCACAACACTGAACTCTTTGGGACTGTGTAATATATTATCACAAATGTTTTCATTTCCTGTCTAAAATTTGCCATTGGTGGTGGTGGGATATTTTAATTGGTATAATGTAGTTGTTTCAGTTCAAAGGAGCGCCACTTGCTCTTTTGATAGATTGTAAGATTGATGGATCAATTGATGGATAAAGAATTGTTTGGAGCTATTAATTAATTTGTTTATTCACACTTGTATAGCCTGACACTATTTTTTCACCTGATTTCTACTTTTCATGTGTTTTAGTTGTGAATGGAAGCTCTATTAAGTTACCTAATGCAGAAAATGACAGATATCAACGTACTGGGAGAGATGAGCAAGACATTGTGAAGCTCATTCAGAGAGATGGATATATGCTTTATGAGAAAATACAGCATGATCAGGCAAGTTGACTTTGTAAATTGTATAAAGTTGTTATTAAAAGTGTCAGATTATCTTTGAAGAGGTTGTTGGTGACATCATTCCTGCTTTATTGAATAACTTAAGATATTTGATTTTGAAATGTATTAATTAATTTTTTATGCAGAAAAAGTTGTTACCTAGACGACGTCGTGCTGTAACAGCATTACCAGAAAGACTATGGAACAATGCTACTGTACCCTATGTAGTTGGACCCAATATCACAGGTAAATGATGGATGCCTAAATGTTTGCCTATAGTTTACCTGTGTGTGTGTGTGTGTACGTGCATGCGTGCGTGCGTGTGTGTGTGTGTTTAGATTTATAGAATACATGGAAGCAAGCATCAATGATTATTGTCGCATTCAGTAAATGGATAGCTTTTATGAAACTGTTTTAGTCAAATTTGAGTTTTTGGCTGTTGAGAGAAGGATTGCAGAGAAAGCCACCTTGTGCAGCAGACATGGTTGTCTTTTGTATTTTATGCCAACAGTGCTTTTGGCTGTATGCTCGGACCTAAAGTGGTTTTGGATATAAGCCATATGCTTCATAAACAAAAAAATTCATTGTCTGTCCTCATAAGAGTTGAGGTTATTGGAGTAATCTTAATAAATTGTACATTGTACATAGCACATCTATTTAATCAGACTGAAATTAATTAGTTAAATTGAAATCATATATATTAACAGCACCATTTTTGTATATTAATTAGTTACATCAATATATTTGCTATTTTCACACTGTATATTGTGTACATGAATCAATTTACTCCATTTACTCCATAGTTGATACTGAAAATTGATATAAATAATAATAATAATTCTATTATGATACAGCTGTCATGCTTGCCACCATTCACCAGGCCATGGCACATTGGGAAGAGAACACCTGTATCAGGTTTGTGAAGAGAACCACACAGAAAGACTACATTGAGTTTGCTCCCGGAAGCTGTGGGTAAGTACAGTAAGACCATGACACCACATGCCAGATTTCCAAAGGAACTAAACCAAGTTTCAGATCAGGGGTTACTTATCTTTAGTAGACTAAATGAACATTAATCCTGAACTGTAGTAGACCAAAATTTTTAGTCTTACTGTTTAGACCAACTTTGGGTCTTAGGTTCTGTTGTGAAACCAACCCCATCAAAAATTGCTTGGACTTGCTTCTTACATTTATTTTCACAATTTCCAGTAAATCCAGTTGCATTACCATTTTAATTGATAAAGGAATAACTATTTTCTTTTCATTTTTCATTTTTTTTCTGTTTTCATGTGGAAATTAATTTTAATTGTTGTTCATTGTCTCTTTAAAATAAATTATATATTTTTCATATTGTAGCTGTTGTTCATTTGTTGGTCGTCGTGGTAATGGTCGCCAGTACGTTACGCTGTCTCCACACTGCACATATTACGGTGTAGTTATTCATGAGTTAGGTCATGTGATTGGGTTCTGGCATGAACACAGCAGGTAAGAGCAAGCAAATGTAAAAATATGATGTATAATAAGTAACATGAAAATTTCTCCAATTTTTAAGATAAAAGGATGTTGATTGGTAGATTCATTTAACAATTCAGATCATTTTGAAACTGGGCATAGTGAAATACCATACTTTTGTGATATATCTCCCATGAACTATTATGGTAATATAAATGCTGATGTGAATATATAATGTACCGGTATGTTTGTATTTAAATACCAGGTAACATTACATTGACCGTTAAGTACTCTAAGATTTGATAGAGTAATATATATTAGCCGTACATGCATATATGCACTAACAGCACATTGTGTCAGCTCTATGTACACATACCCGCATGTAAATCATGTGTGCATAATTTTCACATTTGTAACTTCAGACCAGACCGTGACCAGTATATCACTATTGTCAAGGACAACATTGAAATATCTAAACAGGACAACTTTCAGAAGAAGTCCATCTTCGAAATTGACTCACTTGGACAGCCATATGATTACTACTCTATAATGCACTACAAGGAGGTATATGATTTTTTTCTCACACTAAAACAAGCAAACAAATTGTTTCACTTTTAACAATTTTTATGTAATTTCTTTGTACAAACCAGAACATGAAGTCATAGCAGCTTTATATACTTTCCAGCATATCTATATTTCAAACTCTGAATATAAAAAGATGGGATAGTGATATGTGCAACCTGTTGTTTTATTTCAGAAAACATTTAGCAAAAATGGCAAGGTCACCATAGAAACTATTCAGCCAAACATCCAGATTGGCCAGAGAGTGGCTCTCAGTCCTGGGGATATAATGCAGGCTTCACTACTGTATAATTGCCCAAGTAAGGAGTTGGTTTCTGTAGCTAGCCTTTTTGTAAAAGGCAGATTTAAATTTACATAGTGAGTATATAAAATATATGTTGTTTCTTAAAAACTGAGTTCAAGAGAATGACGTAAACTAATTTATATCAGTATTACAATAATTTTATTGTGAAATTTACAAAAAAATCATTTTCAGGGCCCTCCTGTGACAAAGTATTCAATACAAGCTATGGCAAGTTCTCCACACCAAATTATCCCATCAAGTATTATAAAAGTCATCAGTGTACATGGGTTATACATTCAATACCAGGTAGGATTACTTATACAGGATTGAGATTTTTCCATCTGTTGAGGGACTTTCGACTTTTTGGGAATCAAAAATATCATTGGCCTAGGCGGCCCCCTGAACCCCACATCGTATTTTCTGACTTTTTCACTGAATGGCAATCTCACCTCTGTTAAAAGATGGGGTTTTAAATTGGATTTTTGTAACCACTTATATATTTTTGAAGTTAATGTTAAAGAATACAAAGCACATTTATGCATTTTATTTTATAATTGTTATTTTAATGATGAATATAGAATGAAAATTGTTGAAAGAATTATAAGAGGATGTAATTTTAAAAATGACTGATATACTCCAGCAGATATTGCTCAAATAGAATGGTATATAACTTTTTCTTCATTTCTACATTGTGCATTTAACTTTATCTCCTAACCAGGTCACATAGTCCACCTTGAGTTCAGTTCTTTCTCCTTGGAGACCTCTATGAACTGTACATTTGACTACATAGAGGTTAGGGAAGGCACTAGTGAGCACGGCGCCCTGATTGGCAGGCTGTGTGGAGAGGGCAGCACTGGTATTATCCACTCATCTGTTGGTCTGTGGATCAGGTTCCACAGCGATGCCACAGTGTCTCTGAAAGGAATGGAAGCCGAGTTCAGGTTGATTAGTATGTAAATATATGAAGCTATTCAGTACCTTAATTATAGAAATGTTTGTGTGAGAATGTTAATTGATTTTTTTTTGCCAGATTCTAATTTGATTTTATATCTGTAATGTAGATGTGGGACATTGGTCAAGAATGTTGACAATTGAATAAGCTCCAGTTATATCACTCTTTTGTTCTCTGAATATTGCAGCTACATGTGACAACAACTCTTACAAAACACTGGTTTAATGCAGTCTGTTGTAATAAATTCATCATTATACCTTGTAATGTTATTTAAGAAACAAAGTAAGAAAGGGAATGATTAGCAGAGACTTATTTTTCATACATTGCAGAATCCCTGGAGCAAGCAGACACAGGAAGTGGGGATGGGTCTGGCGGCCATTTTGAAGAATTACAGCGGTCTCTCTATATTGCAGGTTGGTGTCATCAGTACAAGACACTCAGTGACTGTGTGTAGCTATTTGTAAATCAGTTTTGCTGTGCTTAATTTAATAATTTTTTTTCAAAAACCATGCAAGTATTATAAATATGTAAAGGCAGCATTTTTCAATTTGAAAACTTCTATACATAAATATTCATAACATTTTGTTCCTATTAATATTTTGAATGTTTGCATCAGTTTTCTTTTTACTTACAACTTAGCTTTCACCAGTTTTTCACCTTACCTTTGAAATTCACTATTTGTCTTGTTTGACATGAATACAGACTGTGACCAAGATCTGACCCATCACCGTGGCGGCGTGTCATCTCCGCTGGTTCCCGTGAGGTTCACTGGGGTGGTGCGCTGTGCTTGGAGGATAGGCGGAGGTAAGAAAATATAGTGAGGAACAAATGCTAGTACATCCTTCCTGATCTGTTTTTGCTATCAGTTTTGACAGATTTTAATAAATGAAAAATAAATGTGACTCGATGTTTTATGTCTAGATATTTTAGTGAGAAACAGAATGAGAATTTTGTGCATGAAAATGAAAATTATGAATGATAATCATAGCATGCAGAAAAAAAAAGAATTGCTGAAAAGTCAGTTAGTTAATACTAGAATTTGTATCCCTCCCAAACGAAAAATTTTTTTTATGGAACTGAAGATTTCATAGACAAATGCACAATGTTTTTTTTCCAGAAATGTTGAGATTTTTTTTACAAAAGTTTCATTCTGTACATTCCACTTTTTCTGTTTTCTGCAGGTGCTAATGCCACCAGAGTGAAGGTGTCTTTGTTACGTCGCACTCTCAGTAAGACATCTAGATGTCTGGGGAACATATACGTGCTGACAGAGAACAGTAAACAGAGAACTGGGGAGTTTGACAGGTACTACATGTACTGGTACTATATGACAAAGGGCGATAAATATTACAGGGGAGGGCATAGTCTTATTTCATCTTATAAGATAAGGGGCTGGTTGATGTTTTTATAATTGAAATGTTTGACTTTTAGTTGTTTGTTAAGAGGGGCTTTGTGTAATTCCCAAATACAGACATTGAAAAGAGAGTGTCATCACAAATGATGTAGTGATGAATTACTGAAGAGATAAGTAGAATCCATTTTGATAAATGTGCAGTTAAGTGACAGTTGTGATCAAATAAATAACAGCTAGACAAAAAGGAAGTGCCAAAGTATGGATTTAATTCTAAGGACTGTATATTTTCTATCATGCTTATTACACATAAACATTATATTACTGTATGTATTCTCCCACTGCCTTCTATATACCACAGGTACAAGAGAGTCCCCTATAACTGTGCCAACACATCCAGTTTGGTATTGAACACATCTAAAGTGGTCATCCATTGGTCAAGTGATGTCCATGATGCTGTCCACATGGCTTACATTGTAGGTGGGTAACTTGGTATTTGTAATCATTTCTTTCTTCAAAATAACTTTGCTTTACAAAAGTTAACATGTTTTATATAGCATTCAGAAATGTGTACACAGTTCCATTGCGGAAGACTGCCAATGAATACTTAAATATGTGCCACAATCTTGATTCATATTCAGCCAGAATGGCAATCCTCCAAGGCCCATTGTTCAAAAACTGAAATTTTATATACTCAAGAAAATTTGATCTCCATGTATCTCTTGCCTCATGCTGTTGTCTCTTTGCTGCAGGTAGATTACGATGAGTGCGCCGCGCAGTCTCATAAGTGTGCTCATGACTGCATCAACACCATGTCAGGGTACCACTGTGCATGCCACCGTGGTTACATACTGACCAATGGTCAAGAATGCCTGCCTAAGCTGGTACAGTTTAGTGGTAAGTACATTTACAGTTGCCATGGCATCCATAACCATGGTTACACAATGACAAAGGAGTCAAAGTTTGCCTGCTTAATTAGCAAGTACCAGTAATTAGTTTTTTCAACTGCCATGTTTCAGTTTTAAAAGATTTGTATTATTGATAGCAGTGAGATGTAGCTTTTTTATGGTTTTCCTGTTTTCCAAGCAATGGGGTGACAGAGTTTTTTATCAATTCATCAAGTATTTTGGGGCTTTTTCTTTATGGTTTAAAACACTGTTGGAATGCATTTTGCATTTTCACTAAGTATTTTCTTTTACAATAGACACATGTAATAGCACCCTGACCAGTATTCGAGGCAGAGTGAGATCTTCCACGGAACCTTATGGTACATGTGACTGGTACATCAAGCAGAAGGCAAAACAGAGAATAATGTTCAGTTTTAGCAAGTTTAACATCCCATCATCTGCCAACTGTAGTAACACATATGTTGAGGTCCTGGCTGGAGAAGGAAAGGTAATGTTATGATGTAATGGCTATTGAATTTTTGAGAATATTTCATTTTCTGAACATACAAACATTAAGATTATTCACATTAAATTTTTTTGTAGATTAGGGCAGTGTTATGGCTTAGGTCAACATCCACGATTTTCTCCAGCTGTCAAAATAAATACCTTATGTGAATATAGCAGGCAATAAATTGAGCTTTTTTCTATTGCTTTGGCATTGATTTTTTAAAATACGTATGTTACTGGGATCCTAGGGTTAAAAATATATTTTAAAAAGTGATTATTTCTATTATAGATATTGAATGAAAAAACTTAATGATATATTAATGACTGGTATATTTTTCTCTCAGGATTTGACATCTAAGGGTCGATATTGTGGGAAAGAGCTGCCGTCAGCCATTACTACGGTGTCAGGGAAAATGGTGATACGGCTGCATATGACACCACAGAAAGGAGTCAGAATGCCTTATTTCTCTGCAAGATATATAGTGTATAATAAGCAAGAAAGTAAGTTCTAATCCTGCTTTTCTTGATTGATATGATATATTTGTTTTTTTTTAGCTTTAGTTTGGTTTTCTGATTCCATGTTACATGTCAGGACCACACTGACTTTTGAAATAAGGTGTTATTTGTTTTATTTAAGAAAATTTACATTTTGAGGCATCTTTTTTTTAGCAAATAAGATTGTTTCATTATGTAATGTGCCAAAACAATTTTATTTCCCATTATTTTTTAAGAATATTCTCTAATAGATTTTTAACAGAAAGTGTTTATAGGTTGACACGTTTTTTTTCAACTTAAATCTTAATTTGCCTTTATATTTTAGGAACTAAATTGCAAAATTTATTTCTCAGGTTTCTGCTACAAACGCCTAACAGGAAAAGGGTTAATTACTAGCCCCAACTTTCCCAAAACATACCCCCATAACTATGTCTGCATCTGGAGAATTACAGTCAAGTCTAAACACAGAATAAAACTCAAGTTTGACACTATGGATATAGAAAACACAAAGAACTGTGAATTTGACTATGTTGAAATTCATGACGGTCGCCACAGGATATCTCCATTGCTAGGAAGGTATTGTGGGAAAAAGATTCCGAGGAAAATCTTGTCAACAGGTAGGTCATTGATTGCTTTATTGAATTTTCATGATACATTGTGTGTCTATTTAAAATAATGGAAATAATGGATATTATAATGAATGACAAGTGCAAAAGCGTGAAACACAGACCTATTTTTTGTTTGATTGTTGCATTTAGTCTGTTCTGACCAAACTTTGTATATAACAAAAAACATTGAAATTAGATTATTCCACCATTTTAACCAGAGTAGGCTTTTAAAAACATATCAATATTTTTTCTAGATATTTGGCCTTTTTGATCTGAGGCATCTTTCTTTTCAGACAGCTTTTAGAATGTTACAGTAGCTATATAGCTTTGTATTGGTTGGATGACCTCACCATACTCACTGTAGAATTTTTGCTGCACAAAACGCAGAAGGTGATATTGATTTTTTAAAAGTATAAGCTTTAATTTCATCATAGGTAGACACCTGTGGCTGATGTTTATAACAGATGAAAGTGGAGCAGGGAGAGGGTTTCAGCTTCACTACTCACCAGAAGCCATTATGCCAAATGCTACAGGAAAAATAAACTAAAACAAAGACATTGCAGTCAACCCCAGACAACAGTGCTTAATACTATGTAATATTTATAACAGACAAAAGTGAGTCTGGGAGAGGATTTCAGATTTTCCCATCAATTGAACCACCATGTCAAATACAGGGGAAATCATCTTTAAGAGGAGACATATTGGTGATATCCACTCTGTGACTTAGTGGATAAATATTACCCTCTACCAGGGTGGCAGATTATATAGGGAAAAACGGAAAAATCCAGACACAGAGCCAAATGACTGTCTATTTATCTAGAGACATATTTGTGAATATCTGTGAAAAATCAATCTGTCACCCTGGTAGAGGGTAGATAAATATGGGGTGTTAGATGAACCCAAGACCAGAATTGTCATGTTTCTGAAGTCAGAACTCGGTAGAAATCATCATATTTCTACAAGCAACATGAGTGATCATGTTTCCAGAATAGAAAGATTATTATGTAATATATTATGATTTAATATAAGGAGACGGGATTGGTCTCTGTTTGAGAAGAATTGTATAAATTTATATGATATGTGAGTCGTTTGAAGAATAGCAGATATAATCACCTGTTTGTCGTGATTGGCATGCATTCTCTTCTTCTGTTTCTTAGGTATTAATTATAAATTTAACAATCAAAAATAAGATGCAGAATTGTAGTTTGTTTTAAAATTACTTTACAAAAAAATTATAATTGTAATTATGCTCTTTTATAGCATTATCAAATCGATAAAAGTGCCATACATTTTTTATGACATAACATTGTATAGAAAATATTTTGCTCTTTATTACTAGCATTGCAGGCATTGTCTTGATTTCTATGCCTTTAATTTGTAACGGGGATGCGTTGTGAACAGATTCATAGAATTGATTACCAAGGGATTAAGTGGTACACAATACCTCATTGCCATGGTAACTGAAAGTCTCTCAATCATTGGCTCAATCTCTTCATCATCTGCACGTAGAGAGCTTGACTGCAATAAAGGAACGCCTTGCTGTGTGCTGATAATTGATATGCCTTCAGGTTCTAGTGTGTATGTATCACTGGGGTGGATTTCATCGTTCTGCAACCTGAGGAAAATGTTGTTTCCAAGCACTTGAATAATTACGTGCCACAACAGCAGTAAGTACGAAATCAATCATTCTACAGTTTAACGTACAATTTTAACGTAAACATTAAGGGCGTTATGCCGTTATACATGTAGCTGTAATTTAACATTTATTTTGTGGCACACTTAAGGTGTTCTTTATGTTAGGTTCACATAGCCTGATGTGCAGTTCAGTGGGTGCGGTGTATTCAACTGCGATTCCACACTATCAAAAGCAGTTTCTGTGATGATGGGTAGTATCAGCTGCGGTAAAATGAGTACATGACGCAAAATAAGTTATAAATTCACGTTTTGAGGTTTTACAGGTTTTTTTTCACCATTTTGAGCACTGCTGTCGTTTTATATCGTAAAAATAACGAAAACCTCTCAGGAATGAAGCTTTGTTAATTTAAGCAGAAATAGTTTGACGTCGGTTTGTTACCACGTGTTATAATATGATATGATGTAATGATCTGAATCAGTACCTGTATATGCAGTTTATTTCACCGAAAAATAATATCTTTAATTGGAAAATGGGCTCAGATCTTCTACGTTTTACAGTAGTCCTTTTTTGTCGCATATAGAATCTAATTAATCTGGGCTTCTCTCGGCGTGTCCTTGTATATTGGCTGCAACGTGTTTCTCAACAAAAATGACAAGAAATCAATTTCATTTAAAACGTAGGAAAATCACTCTTCTTTGAATCGCCAGAGAGTGCCTAGTTATCGTAAGTAAGATTATGAAGATTTTTAAACATCTAACAGTTTTCTGTCTAGACCTAATATCTGCTAGCATATATTAAATAGAGTGCGTGTGAGAAGTGCGTTTGTACTGTAGTTAAAGTTCAGTAACTGCACCACTTTCGGCATACATCAATACTTTCAAGTGCCAATATTTCATTCCCATTCCGATCATTGTACATGTATTCTCTTTTTTTTAGCATTTTCTGAGGCATTGACTCTTGGTTTCATGTGGTCGCTGCTCCTGCCCATGAGGAGTAATGCGTCTTTAATAAATGATTTATAGACCACTCTAGAGACAAACCTCAAACTTAACTTAGAGAAATTATGATTCAAAATTCATTATCAATAGATATGTTTTTAAATAACGTAAATTAAAACCTGTCAATAATACGCATTTAATCAAACGTGACTCAAATGTCGCTGTTTTTTTCACAGGGATTTCACCTATAAGACGCTACCCCTCTTTGACCAGTATTAAAACAGTTGCCTGGTTATCTTTGAGACCATTCCCACAGATATTTAGATCGATCTATCCCCCTACTAAAAGCTGTAAGGGTGCAATTACCTTTTGTGCGCGTTCGGCTCCCGGAAGCTGACAGCAATTTAGCGTGAACCACCAGGGAGTTAGGTCGATCCAGATGGATCGATCTAAATCGGTGGGAACCCGGTCTTAGACCCCGTTCCCATAGACATCATCGGTCTACAAGAATCAACCCAACTCTGCGGGGACTCGCTTAGTGCAATCAGCTTAATTGAATGACACGCTTCCTTTCGTTTCCAACGTACTCGTATAATCACCAACTTTTCTGTATTCCACTTAACGCCAGGAGGCGTACTCATCTGTAAAGCTGAGAATCCCCGGAGAGTTGCGTCTGTCCGCGGTGTTTATGGGTAAGCACCCTTTGTCACTGGTCAGATCTGGAAAAAAAATAATTTCAAACAGGTTTTAGCTCATTATAGAATCTTACGACTGAAATATCGAAAATAAATGTAACCTTAGATTCTTTTGGCTCAAAAAGAATACAATGATTAGCAGCCCCCTCAGACTGCTAATATATAAAGAGACCTTTCTAACAGAAATCGTACAAATGAGACTTTAAATTGCGACTGGTCACGATTATTAGGCAGTTAATTTAAATATCCGCTCCAGATAAAATTCAAGAATACACGACGGCCTTAAGAAAATTAATTGGAGTGCAAGTGCTCCTCATGTACGCTATGGATATACGCTATGTATGGGATTTGGCAACTGTAAAAATATCATGCCAACTTAAAAACCTCTGTGCCAATATTGAACTAATTTGAATTAAAAAAGCATGACTTTGCCTGAAGACCATGATGATCCCAACATGCCATTATCAGCACTGTCATGTTGTAAAAAAAACAGCAACAAAAAAACCAAATGCATGCTTAATTGTTATTTATCGAACAAATCTAAAATTGATGCCAGTCTAGAAACCAATCGTTTGTGTGCGTGATTCGCGTCTCTACGTCTTCTCTCGGTAGCTTCTTGGAATTGGAACTTCTGTTTGTTTCCAGCTAGGAGCGTTTACATAGCAACAAATTTGAGTCTTGGATGACAACAAGCAAACATCGATCCATCTAGTTTTACACGACAAAATTATCGATTGATTGCAACTTCTGCAATCTGGGTTTAATTTAGACCTTCTACGGGATTGGTCTGAGATAAGGTATCTTCAACCTTTGGTCAACAATTTGGGTCAAGGTAGGCTATAGGCTGTTGACGGTGAAAACTGCTTGATGGAAGGTGAACACGAGACAGTTTCGTGTAGTCAATATAAAACACCATAGGACAGAATCCAGCACAACGGCACAGACACATATCAAGACAAGGCTTCCAGGTATGAAATTACAGACCTATATGTATGTGGTAGATGTGCTTAATTCAGGTGTTAATTGAGTGACTCTTTTGATTAGCCAATCAATACAAACGAGGCAGGTTAAGTCATCTTGGTGTTATTTCCGGGAGACCAACGGTGTCGTAGTCTTTTTTTTTTCACTTTCGTGCGTTGGGACTGCAGTGCTTGTAGACATAATGTACAATCTCTCTCTCTCTCACACACACACACACACACACACACTGCCTATTGGCGGTATGGCAGTCTCTCCCTCCCTCCCTCCCTCTCCCCCCCTCTCTCTCTCTCTCTCTCTCTCTCTCTCACACACACACACACACACACACACACACACACACACACACACTGCCTCTGCCAATTGGCGGTATGGCAGTCTCTCTCTCTCTCTCTCTCTCTCTCTCTCTCTCCTGCATTGGTCGAATGCACAATGAGTAACGAAGAAAGAGAAAATGTAAAAGACGGTCTTCTATAATGAACTAGGTGACATGACTGTTGATTTGGCAGTTTAAAATATGTCCATTTTTTCCGAGAGTGAGAGAGAGAGAATTTGTAAAATCAATAAGCTTATGCAAAAAATAAACAAATTAGCTCTGCAAAGACACTTCTTTCAACGGTTTACAAAAGGTCGGATACACCTTACCAGTAAGCAAAATATTTCCAAGGGGACTATAAATTATTTTTGTCATACCTAGTACATCAGCATGCATACAATAAGACCATCTTTATCGCCTATACACAATCTAATATAAATGTATATTTGTTGAGAAAATTAATTTTTGCTATTAGAAATTGATTTCCGTGTCATCTGACATCACACGCTGACGAAAAAAGCATTATGCGATACAATATCCCTCATATCAAATAAGATCCATATTTCATTCATAGGCAATAAATCACAAGCGACTGAACAATCTGCTCTTAATAAATTCTTCCGTTCGATTTTAAACTAAGTCAAACTGTCTCGCTTGCTCCCATCAGTTATTGTCAGTTAACAGGTCTCAAATCCTTTAAGGCACACGCTATTCTACGTACATGTAGGCCTGTGTTTTCTGTATACAAATTAATCTTTAACTCCCGGCGTTTGACAGAGAGCCCATATAGGTGAACCAGGGGATAGTTCCTTGCACGAGAGGGCAGCAAAGTGCATTCTTAAATATGCGTCGTCAACGTCTTTCCTATACTATGACGTACTCTGTCATACATGTCATAAACTCACAGGCCTGTCCTCACTTCGCGTTTATAGAGATCATTACAGAGATCCTTTTCTTATCTTTACTACAAGTTTAAACGAGACGCCAACAGTGCATGTAGAACGCATCCCGCTTCTGAGGCGAGTTTTTCGTTTACTTTTTATTTATATAAGTGTTGGTGTGTGAAATGTCATTTTGTTTTAGAACAAATTTGGTATGTGATACCACACAACAGAAAGGTATTTGATCTAATTCATAACGAAATACAGGGTATAGTTTTGAAGGCCAGCATTGCGTGTTGGAGTGAATCAGAAAGGATGAGTGACTCAGACCGACATACATGTGACTTTTTATCTGTATACTACACTATATAATACTGTCTGTCTTTTGTTTTTCGTAGAGACACGGGGAGCGGCCATCTTTGAGTTTTCGTGTCGTGGTGGACCATCCCAGTCATGGAGTCCCAACCAAGTTTATAGCAAAGGACAATTTCAGTGATCAGATACCAGTGTTGTTTCTACAGAGATAATGTTTCCACGACGCACCGCAGTTTTACGGGTTGTGATTGTTTGCGGTGTAGTTTTTACGTCACTTTCCATGTGGATATCTTCCAAAAATTCCTCTGACCTGGAATACAGAATGCGACATCTTATGCAAAATGAACAGTCAAATGGAATTTCCCAGTTAAAATCACTTACAAACAATACGTCCGACCAAGCGGACCATCGACAAGTAATATTAATCCCGCCTACATCTTCACGCTCATTTCAGCCAACTCCAGATTCCAATGCAAAACATCGTCACATGGAAACTTTTCAAAACTTTTACGGATCTCTCTCCATGAAGGATTTGGTGGCTTTCAAGAAAGAATTCAGTCGCACTGAACGCTACAATAATAGCAATAACCACGACTTTGAATATATCATAGTAAACAAAAATTTATGCTCGTCTCAAAGCCCGTTTGTGATAGTTTGGATTCATACCTCGCCGGATCACTTTAAACAAAGACTCATGATACGACAGACATGGGGTAATCCACGAAATCACCCAGATGGCAGCGTTAAAATTATATTCATAATGGGGAAAGCTTCCTCTAAAACTCTGCAAGATTCGCTACATATGGAAAGCGAGCGTTATGGCGACATTGTCCAAGAAAACTTTGTAGACTCCTACAAAAATTTAACTTACAAAGCGATCGCTGGTATGAAGTGGGTTTCTTCTTACTGTAGCGGTGCCAAATACGCGCTCAAGTCTGATGACGATATTTTTGTAAATGTTTTTAATCTTGTAAGACATCTTAAAAGTTTTGAAAAACACAAAGTCACAGAGAAAGTTTTACTGTGCAATGTATGGCACAAGATGAGGGTGTTAAGAGATAAGAAAAGCAAGTGGTACATAGCCGAGGAAGAATTTAAAGATGACTTTTTCCCTATGTACTGCTCGGGATCGGCCTATATCATGTCCGGTGACGTAGTAAAGGGGATGTTCCAGGTTTCGCTTTCGACACCGTTCTTTTGGGTGGACGATTTTTATGTGACTGGCCTTCTTGCCCACAGGCTCGACTTAAAACACCAGTCGTTTAATAGCGTCTACCACTTTAAAGCGGGAGCTGTGGAGGCCTTCACAGAGGGACGAAAGAGAGAATTGCTGGTATTTGCTCACTTACACGGTTTAAATCATTTTTATAATATGTGGAACGGGGTGGTGAGGCGGGAAGCGGAACGCAGTCCACATCTTTTATCTCTGACAACGAGACATTCTACCTGAAGATATAGACACATAGTTGCGATGGCCTACGGGTGACAGTGGAATTCAATTAAGACTTACTTTATCTTACTTGAGTATCTTTATTTACTTTAATGACATGTGTCATTACTCTTCCCTGTTCATCTCGTTTTTGGTCATAAATTTCTATTGATTTTATTTTTTTCTTTTAACTCCATCAAGTGTACTGACAATCATACATCATATCTTTCAGGGTACATTATAGTACCCTGAGTGTGTGGTTTAAACTGTTAAACAGACACAAAATAACCCACTCAATTTGGTTAATTTAATACCACTTTTTTGGCAAGTTTCTGTACATTAGTATTGCAGGTGAAGTTTTATCGAGACTATCCTTATATAACGCTGAAGAGGACCTCATTTTTTATTTTGAAAGTACCGTTTGCATGAATGTTATAGTGTGTGTGTTTGTGTGTGCGCATACATGTATGTATGTGTATGTGTGTGCAAAATCGATAGTCGCGATGAATTCACGTCTTTGATCGAAAATTACATGGTAGAGTTAGACGTATTTAATAAAGCATCATAATCATATTAATTTTTAAACATCTCAATGTTCATGTACATTGATAATATTTCAAACATACTCTTAGATGTTAATGTTTTGGTCATTCATCCGAAAATATTCATTACTAGTTGGAGTGACAGTAGGATGATATGTATGTAAGAAATTGATAATTAGACGGATTATCTTTGTTCATATATATATATATATATATATATATATATATATATATATATATATATATATATATCACATTACTGATAGTGAGAGTGAATTCAGTCTTGTCACAAACACAGCTGGAAATTTTTTTCAGCGCCTTTGTCAAAAAATATTTATATGCATTCAACATTCTTTTCATTGTCGTTTGTCTTGCAACTGGCATTTGTTTTTCTTTTCGAAAATTGCTCTTTTCATTTCTTAAGACAAAGAATGATCACTAATTAGATATTGTCACACATATCTGGCGTTATCCCGATGTAGATTTACAATATATTTAAATGTAAAGCTGTCCTACAAGGGACCTTATCATTAAGTAGCGCATAATGTTTAATATTAACGCAGTGCTCCCGCTGCGTATAACTATCAAGTTCACTCGGGGTGAAAACAATGCTTGCAAGTGATAACCATAGATAATCATATCAAATATTCATAGAATTTTACAACATAAAAGCTCAGGCCCAAATGACATTGGTATCCGGTGAAATCCAGCAAAATGATAATGAGGTGTTGACAAACGTAATGACTTGGTTAAATGGTAGTATGATCTGGGCTCTACATTTCTAAATGGTTGGATAAAAGGAAAAAAGAGTCCACCAAATGCATTATCATTCCTGTATAAAGGTAAACTGTTTTTACCACTCCTTCTCCCATTAATATGAACTGAAAATGACAAACAGATATGTCATGTGCCTTACGACAGAGAGATACATGTATTTGTTTATGTCGGGGTATGGAACTTAAATTTGACAGACTTAAAAAGTCCTTGGAAGTAAAAACAACACATTATTCAATGTAAAGAACGCAGTGACCACCAGCAGCTGGACGTCATGAATTGCAGAATCGCGTTGCTGCTCCTCATTTTCATCTCTAATTTATCGGCCATCACTGTGGGGTCTTTGTCACAGAATAAGTTTAAACTGAAGGTTGGTATCTTAAAACTTATACATTAAAATTGGGTCTACTTTTATTTTGGATATGAGTGAAACTATTCGTCTAGAATCGAGTAACTGTTGGTCTATATTGTAGCCATTTCTTTCTTGTCATAAAACAGGTGCAATATTCCAATTGGAATGCTACTGATTTATCTTGGGTCGAAGTAAGCGAAATATTTGAGCCAAAAGTAAAGACTAACATTTGGAAAAAATGTTTTGTTTTAGAAGCCCCAGGCCCTTTTTACCGGAACATCAAAACTTAAAAGAGTACCAAAAACAAAACTTTTCTTGTCTTGTACTTTGAAACTTCCCTGTCTTCTCTGAGTGTCAAGGTCAGTCTCTTATATAATATACGCCGAATAAGCATATTAATACCCATAGGATATACGTAGGTTTTACACAAAGAGAAAATGGGCTATGGGATTCAAGTATAGACATGTAATTGCCCCACTCCTGCTAATTATGTTTTTGAAAAAAATATAAAAGAAGCAATTTGGGGAATTCGACAGTACCTTTGTGAATATAAGAGTGTTTTTCTACTCTTTTGGGAAGGGATAAAGGCTTTGTTCATAGCTTTTTTTTTTTTTTTGGAAAGTTGGAATAACACCTCTTCCCCACCCTCGAGGAGGGGGGTTAACCTATGGGTAAATGCTCCATTGAACTACAGGAAGAAATAAAACATAATTTACAGCAGCAGCATCAACTTGAAGTTGAACAACAACAGAGACTGTTGACTAGCGCCACTCTCGGCTACTTTTGAGATTAAAATATTCAACGAAGTGTGTAAGGTATTAGATCGTCACAGCAGAGCCATTGTAATTGACTGATGGATAAATGTTTTCACTCAGAATGGGTTTATGTTAAACCAGGAAAATGAAAAATAGAATCTCCTATCATGGTAGAAAAATGGTGTGCTGTGAAAAAAAATCAATATCATCGAAACATTCCAGAATATGAGGAAATACTCAATCCACGTCATTTTATAAGATTAAGCCCATGAGTCACTTAACTTGAAAACCACCAAATACCTAGAAGAAATGAGATTCAATAGCCCTACCCTAGTCACGTACAAAACTTTCGTAGACCCGAAGTCGAACATACAGTTGACGTTGTGTATATCATTGATCAGTGAGAAGTTTACGATTTTATCAAGTAAATGTTTTCTTAATGTACCTGTGGTCTTGTTTATGCCGTTTTTGTGGGCATGGGTGGGAGCCCGTCTCCTTATTGATGATATATTTATGTTGACAATAAAAGTTAATATGGCAAGTCTATCTTTTCAATCTCCATCCACTTAATTTTGCACTTACCAGTACAGCGTTTGAGATCCGAAGAAAACATGATTCCATCTCACAGAGAAACGTGATGCTAGAATAGACAGCATCAAATGACACTTGAAATCTTGCAAATTATTTGCTCATCTCTGATATACATATCAAGCTAGCAGCATGAATAAATAGTTTTTATGTATTTTTCTTGTTGCAAAATGTTTATGTGGTGATATGTTGTTTATTTCCTGTGGTTTTAACATTGAATTCCGTTGTTGAACATGGGCTCTTAATAAGACCGCTTGACATTTAGAATGGCAATAGTCATATTCGAATGGAAAATTACTGTTGGCGAGTAATACTAATGACATTATTCTTGTATTTCCTATGACGTCTTTTTTTCTCGATTGATTTTTGGGCCCAGGAAAAATTAGCTTGATTACGACATGGAGAACCTCGAGTAACTTGAAATACCCAAGATGACCACCAATACCCATTTAAATATAAACCCTCACAAATAAACCATCTAACCTTGGTCCAAACCACTGTATTAGCCACTGTTTTAGTTCGAGTGTTCATAACAACCCCTTGCCTTTTATTGTTTGGTGGTAATGTTTGTTAAACCCCAAATGACTGTCAACAGTCACAGAAATATCGTTTTCCGCTATGATGGGTTAAAATATAATTATTGACTTGTTTCACTTTTCAATCACAAAAATAAAAAATCAGAGTTAACTTAAATAATTAAAGATGTTTTATTTGTTAAGAGATCAACACCAAAGTTGCATGCAACACTTGAGGCTTAACGGGGTTTTTATTAGGATGTAAATCTGTACTTAACACTTTATTTTTAATATGGATATTCAGGTTTCAATACTCTCATTTGATTAAAGTATCAACACTCCTTGGACATTTTAATGAAGTTAATACACTGGGTCTAAATAAAATTATCTGTGCTATAACCTGAAGTAGGGTAAAACATTTCTTTTGTCCAATTTGTCGCCAAGAGCTGTATCAGCCGTCTACTGTTTCCACCCCGAGTTTCAGAGACCATTGAAAACTCCCCTCTTTTATCAGGATGCCTCAGCTGTTGATAGAAGATGTGAGTTTTCAGTGACCTCTGAAACCCAGGGTGATTATTTGCGATTTCGATATGAAACTTTGCTGTGCACTGATAATGAACAGCTTGTTTATCAAAAAAGGTCGAAGTGATGACAGGCTATGGACCAAGTCTGCTATTCAGGTTGACTAAATTTACAAAGTCGATTAAAGAATCAAGTCAGTGAGGTTTACCTGACAAAAGTTGCTCATAAAAAAATACAATCTTCTAACTGAAAATTTTTACATACGACCAAAGGCCCTTTTCTCCAGAATGAACACCGAAATCGCAGCAGGCAAGTTATTGCTGCTGGTGTTGACAAGGTGTGCAGTGTGTTAGTTGAGAAGCATCGTTTTTCACAGCAACAAACCCCACTTGTATCTTAATAATTTTATTAAAAAAATACCTGAAATGTCCGAACATACGAATGTGGATAAGGCACAGGACGCAGCTCGAAACAAAGACCTTTGTTGCGCCATTACGCTGGCCTGTAGCCAGCGATTTCAACGGGGTCTTTTTCTGAAAAATGGACCCTTTACTCTCTTAGTTGGCCAAACTTGAGAAACAACATAGAAACTAGATTAATTTTTGATTCAGAGAGGACCTTGTCAGGCAAAAATGACGTTTTTTTTTTTTTTTTTTTTTTGCACCACCCGCTTCCTGTTGGCTTGTAAACATTGAATGACTGAAGAAAATTTGGACCAAACGTCGTGATCTTTCCGCTGGAACGGTGGCTCCCCCCCTTCTCTCTCTCCAGCTGGTGTGTATGGGGTGCATGCACCGTTTTCTCTATTTTTGATTATGTACAATTCCGTCATTCACATCGTCGGCATTATATTCCCTGCGAGCTAGTTGATAAAAATAAGTTAAGCTGAAAGTCAGTGAAAGATGTGCTGGAAAATTATTAATATTACCTTTTGCTGACAGACAGCAGTGGGGCACTGAGGGAACGCTCATTCCAGAGATTTATTACCTGATTCTGAACAAGCTGGGCCGACCTATCTCGGTCCAAACACACCTTAAGGTAGGTCGTCCTGTTACGATTAGCTCACCAAAGGCAGCAAATCTAATTACGTAGTTGCCCCTCTCAATGCAATTGCCATCAAGGTAAATATCGAGTTTTTTATTGGCAAGTTATGATACCAGAACAATGTGTAAGCTATAGCCATCTTCTTCGGAAACGGGATTTTACTCATTCCTCACAAAAAGTGCTAATTTCATTCGAAGATAAGCCTGTTGTGTAAGCACCAAGCGGTACTGTCTGTTGAGAAATGGTTAGGAGAGGCATTAATACAATGATATCTGCTTAGCGAAATGTTTTTTCGTAACCACAGTTCGAGGAAATCGACTTCATTCCATCTAAATGTCCTTTACGTAATAAGAAATGAAGGAAGTTGCGCTCGTCCGTAATTTTCATAATGACACAACAAGATTTTGTCATCAATACCAGTAAAAAGACAACCCCTTTTTAGTTATAGGGGAGACCGGGGCTAGTTGGACCCCGGGGTAAGTTGACCCCCCATCAAGTTTCCTTAATAAAGTTACTTTAAGATGCTAAATTATTTTATTTGGACTCCCTGTCGACGCTTTCTTAGCACTATTGGATACGGTCACTTTACAAAATGATGTGATTAATTATTTTACCCCATAGTTACTTTGTCATAAATAGATGGGACCCAACTAGCCCCCGTCTCCCCTATATATGATAGCCGACTGTGACAAGGCGATTCCCATATTTATGAGGCTTTAAAAAAATAATGCAAAGTACTGCTCAATTGGCATCAGTTGATTAAAAAGCGCAACGTTCTTCACAACAAATTTAAAGTATGACGTTGAAAAAATGCCATAAACGTCAAGAAAAAATGTGTGCGCCCTGTGTTTCCCTCCAGCATATGCATCTATATATACTGTATAGGAAGAGTTTTGCTCAGGTTGACACCGTGCACAACATTTCTTTTACGGCAGTAATGCTATAATGCAACTACGATCATTGTAACGGTGAGTTGAATCTTTAAAACTTAAATCGTACGCCATAGTCACATGCGGAGAATTATGACTTTTTTTTTTGAGAGAGAGACATGGCTCTTTTTCATTGAGGCTTCACTGAGTCGACTGAGACCCGGTGTGAAAGGCCGACCGTGCATACCGAACATTAACATACAATACATGTACATCGCAATGCCTTGATTTAGGTAAGACAATACTCAGCGAATGAAGAAAACACATTGCATTTAAACCGCACTCCTTCACAAAATCAAAATTGACATACAAAATCTTGACTTTTTATAAAAAGATCCGTCAACCTATGACTAGAACTAAAGGTAAAAAAAAAAACACTTTACTGTGACTTAAAAGCCAATCATAGCTGGCCTACCTGAGTGTCGTATTAAGCATAGTGACGTTGTCATATGTTGAATATGATGCAGAAACAAATTAAATCCATATAAATACCGCAGGCTAAAATGTTAAATAAAAGTAATTTCAAGCTATACAGTTACCGTATCACAACAAAAACTCAGTACAGGTGCTGGTCATGTGATGTTTATAACGTACAAGAACGGCATCAACGTGACTTACGAGCCAAACACGCGACAACCAAGGGAACTCAGTGTTACTTTCCGTCTCTGTTTTAACTGAACACAGTATGCCTGCGCGCACTTTGTTGGTCAAATTCTTCCATCAATCGTGACTTTCAATGCTCTATTCTGTGATGGGTAAACGTATCCATTGCAAAGTATTGGAAAATAATTTCTCTATTGTTGGGACACGGTGGGCTGTATATGAACATAGGTAGACTAGTACTATTATATTGTACTTTGCATTAATCATTCATTGCGATGTTGACATGTTTGTACGAACAAGGTCGACAGTACAGAGGGTTCAGAAAATGGTTGAAGTTCATATCGTTTTATGTATAACGATCGCGACGGCTGATTGTTGGAAATGTGTGCTGGGGATATATGCTGCTCGTAGGAGCAACTGAACTTTTCTGTGCCATAGCTTAGATATATAAATACAAAATAACCAAAGTTCATTCATTCGTGACGTATCACAGCTGAAATGAATTAATAAATAAACTACCCACATGGGTTGTTTCTTTGATACAGTCTAGCAAATCATGTGAAGGCATTAGAACCACTTGCCTATTATGATTTGGAAAACATATTTTATAGGCTTTACAGCTCGAGTCGCATCGTTTTCCAAAAGATCGGTAGCCTACCATCACGAGCTGGTGGACTCACTATATTATTATCTTCATGAGTTTTTGTCACCCAGTGTAGCTTGTATCGCGCGAAGAGGTATGCAGGAGCAGTAGTATATAGAAGTGCTGGCAGTGAGAGATAGCTAGCGACTCATAAGGGCATTTTACATTTCACTGGTTTCGTTGCGACCATTACATATTTGCGGTTGACACAGTGACAAATCTAGGATTTAAAACAATATTATTTTGCGACAACTTCCGAACCTAACAGGCGAATAGATCAAGCAACAAGCGGGGCCCGCACAAACAAGAAACAGGTGAGGTTGTTATTGAATATTAGGTGTGACAATAACGGCGAACTATGAAATTTTAACTCTGTGTCTACGCTATAAATTATACATTTAATGGGTAGATTATTGCCACTGAAATTTCAAGTTTAAATTGGGTCGTGGGATTGTGGGAGCGATAAGCTGCAAAAAAGGTAGATACATCGCGCTGGGTCCGCCCCCAGCCGATTCGGATGACATTTAACGACCGCTTCGACAGAAGGGCTTTTTGATTTTGTAATAAAATGAAAATAATGCAGTCACCTTCATGATGTGTGTGGTTAGCTAGGTCACGCTGGTCTATACTAGCTATCTGCCCGTATAACTACTGTGTCTTTCGGTAATACCATATATTTGTCATATATATGGTAACACGTATCTATGAATATAATATGCCCGGAATATTACCTCACGTTTCGCATTACAGTGACTAATTATAACAATTTCCTTTTTTGTGATTCATACGAATCCTCAGCAAAGCACTGCATATCGTCTGAAAGGGTGAGTTAGAAATAATATTGATTTATTTTGCATGTAACGGTCGCTTTTATCTACTGTGTCAAAGTAGATACGCCATCACAATGAAACATTTCTTAATCGTTGCATTATCTGTGAATTATGTGTCGATTTATCAAGATAAGATGGCCGATAGCCTGGCCTAATATTTCCCCTGCCCTGTAGCTCAGGGCTACCTGGGCAGGTACAGGTAACTTCAAAAAACGTCCGGCGATTCACACCAGAAATAATTAGTAACTATGTCATATGCTGACAAGTCAGTTGACATAATACCTTCATATGGTAGACAAGGCGTATGACAGCTATCCTTTGGGCAGCCTATTTATTGGAAGAAGAGTAGACATTACAGTTCGTTTCCTTAAGCAAAGTTACAAGATGCATTTGTGGTATTTTTTGTGTTTAAAATAGTCACATTTTCTAACTACCGTAGATTGCATGCGGAGACCCTTGGACAAGTTACATCCTTTTTAGCAAAGAAATAATCGACTTTGCGGTCTTGCTCAAAAGTTGTATTTCTTTTTCAAGTGGATATTGCAAGGACTTTATATAAGCGTTAAGTGGATTTAGAGGAAGAAAAAGAAATATATCAAAATGCATCAATTTCTGGTGTGTAATGAGACTGAAATGCAGCAGAAGAGATGGCTTGCAAGGCTAGCATATTGTGGAAGGAAATTATTCATCTTTCTATTTATTCATTCATCCAGTAATCTATGTATTTGTCCATTCATCCAGTGATACATCTATTTAATTCATTCATTCATCCATTTATACATTTGTTTTTCCTCGTCTTAATTGTACTAGCACATCCTTGAAGTGACGGCAACGTGGTCTACATATAATATTTTTCTAACACTCGTGCGCACGCAGGTAGCGATGTAATCGCCTACAGCTCGCATACAGCAACATTGATGCTATATTGCCAAGTCAAAAATTCTTATACTGGTGATGAAAACGCCCATTTATGGCTTGCTTGAATGTTAATTCCCTGCTTAGATTATTTGAGGATGCTAATATCCCAAAAAACACTGCTAATACAGATTCGTCAACAGCCACCAGTCTACATGGTACGAATACTCAAAGTGTGGTGATCTTTTGTTCAAGGAATCATAAGAACAAAAGGCAATTGAGTATAAATGAGCATAAAATGCATAAATTAGTTAGTGACATCTCTACCATGCACACTGCCTGTCTTCGTCCCCCCCACCCCCACCCCCGTCCCAACTCTTCGATAGAGAGTTATATTTATCAGTAAAGATAGGAAATGTACCCTTGCTCTACATCTAGTACCAGGTCAGCCGGAGTGCCATCATTTATCATTATATGTCCTCTTCCTTGTCATTTCGTGTCATCGGTATTCACATCAGAGAGAGATAGCTCATGGCGTGAATCGCTAATCAGCCCTGTGTGTGCCTCCACACGCGAGTCCCCGTGTATTCTTTGGAGAAAGATAGGCAGCGAAGGAAATCTCTGTAAAATTTAAATGGCACTATTATTCCACTGACAGGCATAAGGTCATTTGCAGTTTTCATTTAATAATATATACGTCCCGTTGCTGTCTGCACTACACGAAGGAAATTCAAGGGCATATCAATTAAAGTAATGTATTATTAACATCTATTTACGTTTATACATTTAAGCATTTGTTTATATATTTACTTACACCAGGAGAAGAGTCGATCGTCAAAAAAAGTAACGACAACAATGAGACGGCTATTTATTTTGTTTTCAGAATAGTTTTATAACAATACCCTGATATTTCTATATATTATTTTCAGGCAAAGTGAAAAGAAATGGCGGACACAGCGCAACGTCAGGTAGAATTCAGTGACATTTGGTTAAAAAAGATGAAGACTGTCTTCCATCGCTTCAGCGTAAATAAAGACGGCAAGTTAAACCGCGATGCCGGGAAGACAGCCTCTGCTCGATACATCTCTTCCAACGGCTTGAAGGGAGACCAGGCGCGTAGAATACGCGAAAAATGGCAGACCATTCTAATGATGCTGACCACAAGATTTACCGCCATCAGTGAGGAACAATTCATCAATAGTTTAAAGGAACAAATTAACACCGACGCCTTTCGAGCTGTCCTGAAAGACGTTTGCACAAATAATTTCGACCTTATTAATGTCAACCAAAGAGGTAACATCACCAAGGAAGAAATGGCGTCCTGGTGTAAATTCCTCGGTCAAGATGATGTGGATTCTTTTTTTGAAGCTCTGGACACCAAGAAAGATGGCGTAATAACAGCAGACGAATGGCAGCAGGCCTGGAACGAGTTTTATTTTTCCGAAGACGAGAGCAGTCTTTATAACAAGTTATTTGGACCATTGGCTGAATGACATGGAAACCGCAATGAATAATTTGAAATGTGAGCTTATTACACGTACAAACCTTGGGAGAGAATCACTGATGGCGTGCTATATAATGAGACCAACTTGTTCCAAAGAAACGCAAGCCAATTTAAATCTGTACGGATGCGTAACTTTATAAAGGTGCTAGAAACACAATCCCCCAAATGGCTAAGGACTGGTAAGCGCACGTCTTTTTTGGCGAGGATGTTCCACAAGAATGATTATAATGCCCTCAATGGAAGACAGGCGTAGCTATATCACAGAACAAAAAAGTATTCAATAAAAATGTTTCTCTGAACCATATATTTCGATATAGGCCTATTACAATATGTCACTCTATGTATCACAATAAGTGACAATAAAATTTATATAAATTGACTAATTACAACTGTTTAATTTTCCAATTCAGTGGAACATGTGTATATCTGAATACGTGTTGTATTGAAGGCGATTTCAGAGTCGAAACTTTTGCCCTTACCCATTTTAGGTGTAGAAATGTTTAACAGCTTCAGTTTGAGCTAAAAAGATCAAAACCAATATAAACGTTAACATCATTCTAAACCATGGCCTGAAACAGCATACATAGCAAGGAAATATAAGGTTTGAAATTATGTTTCCTAGAAAAATAGGGCCTACGTTTGAACTTTTGAAAGGCTTTGTTGTCCATGCGCTAATTAGATGTTTAGCCAATTATATTGAAAGACAGTGTTTCTATAAATATTTGTTTATTCAAAGCACAACTTAAATTATTAATATTCAAATGCACAATTTATTTGACAAGAATCATCACATATATATACATAAATGAAAAGATCACCAACATCACAAGATTCAAATGAATTGTGTTAGTTGAGACAAAGGTGGGTTTCAAAAATCGCATTCTGTCACATCACGCTCTGAATGCCCGTGTCTGTAAATGCGAACTCTTGAGGGTAGTGACAGATTAAGCCTTCTGCATTTTATGTTTCGCTTGATTGCCCAGGCAATTACCACATAAAAAGGTATTCACTTTTTTTTTTTTTTGGGGGGGGGGGGGGGGGGTTTTTTCTGCACTGAAAAGTTTTGTTTTGTATGGGGGGGGGTTTTACAGCCCCCCCGAATTTTTTTTTTTT